GAAGTAATGCCAGTCTAATGGGAACTATTAGCCATTAAGAAACAATGCAGCTACTTTTGCTTCTTTCAAGGGCCATTCTCATGACTTGTCTCTGCAGATCTCTTCCACTTATCTCCCTTTACTACTGTGTTTAGTCAGGCTAGGCTACACCGTGTTACTGTAACACAAAACCCTCACATCTCTGGCTTATCACAACAAAAGTTAATATTGTTCTCCAGGCAGTGAATCAACAATTCTGACAGCTGTTTTCCACATAGAGATTCAGTGATCCAGGCAGCTTTTACCTTATGCTTAATAAAATCTCAACACATTTTCCATAACATGATGCAGGAGGTTTTTACTGACTCGGGTTGGAAGTAACACACATCATTTCTGCATACATTTTCTTGGCCAGAACTGGTCACAAAGTTTTGCCTAACAACAAAAGCTTGGGATGCATGGTCTCCCATAAGCCCAGGAAAGAAAAGGGACCTAGATATTGCCAAGCACTGGTAACATCTGTAACATCTACCATGCCAGACATGTTCCTCGAAACTTTAGCTTCCGTATAACTATACTGGCTAATTTGGCTTCTAGTGCGCTTCATGACCTTTCTGCTTAGCCCCCAACTAATATTCTCAGTCTTTTAGGTTTCCAATTTCAAAATCCTAAGAGAAGAATTCCTACATTCAGTGTCTTCTAGCATTACCAAGAGTAGTAACACTAAATTTAAAAGAAATGGTGGTGTCAATGACCTCAGACTTTGAGATTTAAGCATTAGAGGAGAACCAGGGGCAATGTTTACTGAACACCTAAAGGAAAAGGATTCTGCCAGCACCTTTATTTTTTTAGCAAGCTACTGTCTTCTTAAAGGCAGGGAAACAACATTTGAAAACATACAGAATGTAGAGAAATTCACCAGGAAGACAGACAGCTCCACAGCACAGCTCCAGAGAATAGTATAAGGGCAATGGCACTGGAAGTATATGGGGAGGCTCAAGGGGAAAGTAGCCATGATTTCTAATAAAGATAGAGTAAGTAATATGAGGTCATATTAACACCATAACAGCAAATACAAAGTAGAATTCCAAAAGAGAAGATCTGAAACATAATAGATGCTTCCAAATTCTGGTAGATGACAATGATGATTAGATAGGAGAAAGGGACTCACAAGTACGAAGGCTCACACTTCTTCAGAAATTACCTCAAAATTCTTCTAAAGTTATTTATTAGACATTTTTGAAATTATGACATGCTTGGTATATAAAATGAAATAACCTAATTCAAAGGTGTATAATGCGTGCATGTAGAGGGTGGACCTCTACCAGGTTAGGCGATAAGAGCTTCAGAGGAAAGAGCAATTACTGGAATTATAATACAAACAAGTCTCCTTACCCATCCTGAAGATGTTTGTTTTGTTTTGTTTTTTTCCTTAGAGTTCATGAATTGTATCTGTATATGCCTGGGTCTTTTTTCATCAAGGTCATTTGTAATTCTAAAATCTTTTCAATCTGTAATCTCATATCTTTCTTTGATTCAGGAAAATTATGTTTTCAATTGTGATTTTTTTTTTCTTCCATCTGTGCCTTTTCCTATTCTGGGATTCCTATTATTCACAAGTTGGGTCTCCTGGATTTACCCTCCAACTCTCTTACCTTAATACAAGGTTCATTAAACCTCTATCTTCCCAGTCTGCTGTCTACCCTTTCCAAAGTATTAGTAATAAAGTATTTATAGTTAGAAATACTACAGAATTTGGATAAGGTCATCTTCTAGTAGTAAATGGGCAAAATACTCTTAATTTACTACAATAATTGCATAATTAAAAGATAAAGGAATATCAACAATAAATAGATATGGAAATTATTAAAGGATGACACAAATATAGCAAGCATAAAATTAAATATCAATGGGCTAAATGACCCCGTAAAAATTTCCTCAGAATTTCTTTTGAAATAGAGCATCACCCCATCACTTTTCAAATAATACAAATTTCACAAAACACTTTCAGCAATGTCATTAATCGCATTATATATATACATATATATATATATGTAATACAGAATATTTTTATCTATGTGTCTGAGAATCTTAAAGGGCCAGAGCCTACAATCAGCTCATTTCACTGATTTTTCCCCCCTACACTAAAGATTGGTGGCTCTAGGAGAGAATGAGGGGAGATGGGAGAAAATTCTTTCTTCTTTGTGTTCTTTAGAATCAAAAAGACTGTTCTGTTAATAAGCATTGTAGTCAGAAAATAGGAACCCACCTAAATTTTTCATTGGTAAACATTTTTTTTAATGGAAATACTACTAGAACATTTTAAATTTGCTTAACTCATTGCTAAAGAACATTGTTTGGGTGAATATTTTACTAAGTTTCAGAGGATAATCAGGCACTTTACAAATGAGAACATCTGCAGTCACCCTAGGAGTGATGAAATTACAGGGCTATCTATCAATCCTTGTGCTTCAGGGCATGGGCTGATCACCAGCTGGAAGAGAGACACTATCCCCTAGTATTTCTATAATATCATCAATTACATTCAGATGTTTATTGCCCTTTAAATATACAACTCATGGGTGGGGTGGGGGGAATTTAAAGTACATTATGGCCAATTAGTGCAACATGAAGAGAAAATCTTCAAAGATTTACAAAAATATTTTAAAGAAATTAATTTTTTAAAAATTTCAGGGAAGATAAGCAAAATCTTATAGAAATTAACAATGATCATTTTGGATTTTATCACACACAGAGCCTGACAGAGAATAGAACTAAGAGTTTGGTGAATGAGTAAATGAGTGAATGAATGAACAAAGAAACAAACTTGCATGTGCCTGGGATCAAATCTCAGCCTCACCAATATTTGATCTTAAGTACTTTGCTTATCTTGGTTTACTCTTCTTTAAAATGAATAAGTGTACCTACCTCTTCTTGTTATTACAGGACTGAACTAGGTAATGCATGTAAATAAATAAACCTATTGCCTAGAACAGAGTGAACACACAACAAAAAAGTCATTTTAAGAGCTCTCTTGGGATTGATTTAACTAATTCCCGAGATCTAACAAATTATCTCAATATATTTCATAATAGATCAAATCTTTGCATATTGTCTATATTATAAATCTGTATTCTATTGAATCTCTGTGAAACCTAAAGTATATTACACCACAGACATTCCCTAAGACTATCCTTTATTCTGAACTAAGCATAAACTCTCTGCTAATAAGCAGATCTCTTAGATGATGTCTTTTCATCAGTTTGTGCTGCTATAACAACATGTCACATGCTGGGTAGCTTACAAACAACAGAAATTTATTTCTCACAGTTCTGAAGTCTGGGAAGTATAAGAGCAAGGTGCTGGCAGATTTAGTTTCTGATGAGAGCCTGTTTCCTCATATGGTGGAAGGGGCAAGGGGGCTTTCTTGGGCCACCTTTATAAGCACACTAATCCCGTTCACAGAGGCTCTGCCCCCATGACCTAATCACCTTCCAAAGGTCCCACCTCCTAATACCATCACATTGGGGATTAGGATTTCAGGATATGAATTTTGGGGAGACACAAAAATTTATTCTATAGCAGATGGCATACTGTGACAAGCAAAGTTCAAACTCATAAAAAGAGTAACAGCTGCTCACTTTGAAATGTCCAAAGCCCTGGCCCAAGCTTACTGTGACTTTTGGCCAAATGCATACAAAAGTCATGAAAAGGATTGTAAATTAGGAGTGGCACTGACAATTCTTTCTAACAGTTTCTTAAGAATTACCTGCTCGTTATTAGCCAATTTTCTTGGGACCCCTAAATTAGATATATCCTGTAGATACAGAAATTGTTCCAAACCCAAATGAAGAAATTCCATGTAAACAGATGCTCTGGACTCAACCAGCTAAAAGACAGGTTGAAAGTAAATCGTACAGCATTTGTGATTAACATAACTTTAAATAAAAATGAGAACTCCCCCATGACCAATTGCTGTTTTCATTGTTACTGAAGGAAGTGTTGGAGGGATAACCTAGTTTATTGGATGTTTTTCCAAGGGCAAGGTTATAAAAAGTCCTTTTTTTTCTGGGCAGTAAAGTGATATTAAATTATAAATGTAGCTGCATATAATCAAATTATCTCTTTTTTGGAAGATGAAAAATTAGAAGATTTCTTAGAACTTTAAAAGAGTTTTTGTCATTTATTTCATGAATCGCTCAGCAAAAGGCAACCATGTACTATTTCAAATAATTTACTACCATAGAATGTCACTAGACTCAAAAGCTTTTTCTTTCTTTTTGTTCTCTATCATGAAATCAACACTTTTGCAGGCAAGCGGCAGGACCAGATATCTCCAGCAATGTTTGAAGAGAAGGAGAAGGGTGCTTAATATATGAGAACACTAGGAAGCCCCCCCCCCCATAACTTAAGGAAACAGGAAAAGCCCACCATTCTAAGCTGCGGTAAATGCTCAGATCACGTGATGCTGAATAATGCCGTTTGGAGTCAAATCCTGAGGCTCTTCATTAACACCGTGATTCATCTGGAGGTAGTTAGCTACTCAACTGTGGGCCCTCAGAAATGGGCAATCCATTCCTGCCACAGCTGAACCAAAGGTCCTGCTGGCCTTGAAGCTCAGACGCTGAGAGCGGGGTGAGGACACAGCTCTGGGAGGCAGGGAGGGTGAGGAGGGGACCGAGGCACGTTCACACCGGACGGTAAGAAGCCTCTGGGCTAAGCTGACGTGAAAGCGGGAGATGAATGGGGCACAGGTTTGAACTAATACACTGAGCCCTTTACATAGATCACCTGGTTTAAACCTCTAGGAAATCGATATCATTAGGCATCAGGGACTGAGAGGGAAAGACGCTAAGAAGCTCTTGCCAGGGCTCCTGCCCGGCGCCCCCAGACTCCCGGAATGGGGGAGCGCCAGGGACCGGCTTCAGGAGGTTCATGAGGGGGACAAAAAAAGCCCGGCTGCCACACACAAACCTAGGCCTGAGTGAGGGCCAGTCAAGGCTGCCAGCAGCGGAAGGATAAGGTCGGCGCGGAGACCATAGATGGAAGCCAAACGCAGACTGCTGGCGAGAAGCACCAGCCCCTCCGCCAGCCCACTCGCTGCGGGCAGGGGTTTCTCACGCCCCCTGCTCCTGGGTGACGGCACCGGAGGTCGGAAGGAAGCGGGGCGAGGGATGAGTCATCCCGCCTAATTCCTCCTTCCGGGTACCCTCGCCAACGCACACCAGCCCCCTCCCGAGATCATGCAGCGGGGAGCGAAGATTCCCCCCATCTTCAGAGTCCTCCAAACCCCCCGTGGCCTGCGGAGGAGAGAAGAAGGACGGGACGTATGGCCAATAAGAGCTTCGCTCTCTCGCTGCCGTCCAATTGGCCGCTGTTTACAAGCCTGGGCGGGACTTAGGCGGGCAGGAGGGGCGGTCCCGGGCTGGCGCTCGGCGCCTCGGTTCCCTAGCTCGCAGAGAGCGTCTCATAGGGAGTCCGCGCCTCGGCTACGCGGGAAGGCGCCTCCGCTGCCAACGCCGCAGCTGCTGGCCAAGGTGCTGGACACGACAGGCCGGTCGCCACCTCGCCAGCTCAGCTACCCGTTGCAGCCGCCGCTGCCTAGCTCCCAGCCGGGTCCCCATGGAAGAGATGGAAGAAGAGTTAAAATGCCCCGTGTGCGGGTCCTTCTATCGGGAGCCCATCATCCTGCCCTGCTCTCACAATTTATGTCAGGCGTGCGCCCGCAACATCCTGGTACAAACCCCAGAGTCTGAGTCCCCCCAGAGCCGTCGGGCCTCAGGCTCCGGGGTCTCCGACTATGACTACCTGGACCTGGACAAGATGAGCCTGTATAGCGAGGCGGACAGCGGCTATGGCTCCTACGGAGGTTTCGCCAGCGCCCCGACTACCCCGTGCCAGAAGTCCCCCAACGGCGTCCGCGTGTTCCCCCCGGCTATGCCTCCACCGGTCACCCACCTGTCACCGGCTTTGGCCCCAGTGCCCCGCAACTCCTGTATCACCTGCCCCCAGTGCCACCGCAGCCTCATCCTGGATGACCGGGGGCTCCGCGGCTTCCCCAAGAACCGCGTCCTGGAAGGGGTAATTGACCGCTACCAGCAGAGCAAAGCCGCGGCCCTCAAGTGCCAGCTCTGCGAGAAGGCGCCCAAGGAGGCTACGGTCATGTGCGAACAGTGCGATGTCTTCTACTGCGATCCGTGCCGCTTGCGCTGCCACCCACCCCGGGGGCCCCTAGCCAAGCACCGCCTGGTGCCCCCAGCCCAGGGCCGCGTGAGCCGGCGTCTGAGCCCGCGCAAGGTCTCCACCTGCACAGACCACGAGCTGGAGAACCACAGCATGTACTGCGTGCAGTGCAAGATGCCCGTGTGCTACCAGTGCTTGGAGGAGGGCAAACACTCCAGCCACGAAGTCAAGGCTCTGGGGGCTATGTGGAAACTGCACAAGGTGAGTCCTAAGAAAACCCTCTCCTAACTCCCAGCGCCTCGGATCCTCCGGTGTTGCAGCATAAAGTCCTTTTCTTTTGCGCACAGTGCATCCCAAGCCGGGGCGCAATGCAGGTGCCTGCAATATTTGCTTCCCCCGTCTGGTGCATTGCAGGAATCCAAGGGTGATCTTAAACCGCGCACGGGGGAGTTGACTATCCCCACAGAGTTGTTGCGGGGGTGCCTTAGAGCAGGTCTCCCGGGGCGCGCAGCCTGCGAGGTAGGCGCAGGGCGCCCCCTCTCCGCTGCGGCTTGCGGCTAAGGGCCAGCATGCAGGAAAGCGCTGCGTAACTGGGTAGAGCAGCGCCAGTGCCCTAGGCCGACAGTGCTCCTCTAGGGCCGACAGTACCCCTCCAGCGCAGAGCTGGCTGCGGGGCTCTGGCCGTGGTCCTCGGGGAGGCGGCGGGGGAGGTTGGGTGGCGCCGATCGCCCGGGGCTGGAGCTGTTAGATAGGCAGGCGCCGTGAGTCACAGCCAGGGCGGGAGAAACGCGGCGGGAGGAATACTGATGAGTCCGCGCTCGCCCAGACCCTGCGAACCTGCTAGAGGGGTTTCGGGTGGAGGTGCCGTGCGCTTAGGAGGCAGAGGAGTGGGGAATGGGTGTGGGGAAATCCTATGGTCGCCTTGGCAACACGGCTTGCAGGGTGCGATCCTAATCCACCTGTGGCTGGAATATCAGCAGGGCAGGTGGTTTCTGCGTGGTTGTGGCCTGAAGGCTAGGCGAGCGTGTCTTCACGGGTGTCTTCACCCCCTCCTTCCAACCACCCACACGCCCATTTGTCTAGGAGTCAACCCTTTTCCTCTTTCGGTACTTGTCTGTGCAAACTTTGAGACACCTGTTACCAGATTTATCTTTCCGGTCTTTTTTGATGGCGCCTACACCAAAGCTAGCTTCAAGTGCCTTTAACGTTTTAGGTCATGCCACTCCTCTGCTCATAATTCTCTAATCATACCCCGTGTTTCTCACAGTCCTTTGAATGGTCCACCAGGACCTACATGACCTGTTCCCCTTTGGCCTCATGGACTTCATTTTCTCCCACTCATTCCTCCCCACTCCAGCCACAATGTCTCTCTTGCTGTTCCCCAACCAGCACCAGGCACCTCTGGCCCCAGTGCCTTTGCACTGATGTTTGGTCAACCTGAGATGTTCTTCCCCAAAATCTTATACCCATATCCAATTGGCTTACTCTCTTGCCTCCTTCAGATCTTTGCTCAAATATCTTCTTTGCAGTGAGACCTCCACAATTGCTGCCACTCATCTCAGACACTCCTTAGTTCCCTCCCTGCTTTATTTTTCTCAGTAGTAGTTACCACCACTACTACTACTAGTTACCAGGCATGCTATATATTTTAATTATCATGTTACTTTTGTATATCTACTGCTTCCCTCCACTTCCCCCCCATCCCCACCCCCACCCTCCACTGGAAAATAATCTGCAAGAGGAAAAAGAACTTTATGTTATGCTCATACCCTTGGAAGGAAGGGAACCACTCTTGAGGAGATATGCATAAATTTGACTTCTACTTTTTAAATAATCCACTTAATTGGGGGTGTGAAGAGCAGGACAGGGGTTCAGGATTATTTTAGGCAGGGTTTCTTCACATCATTTAATTGTAAGCCCAAGAATAAGGATAAGGCAGGCAGTAAAGATGATGTTCAGGCCTCAGCTATGGTCCCACTCCAGTTTCCCAGCATTCCCTGGAGACTGGAAAGGCTAGCCTTTGAGAGAAGCCATTGGTATTTTATTTACAGAAAGAAAAAGAAAAATCACCATTTTCAGCAACCAGGGAGGTTTTCTCACTCAGTATTAATTGAATGTGACCCATGTTTACAGTCATTTGTGTTCTCACATATAACCTGTTAAACCACATTAGTCCTAATGGAGATTTAATTCTGCACAAATCTGAGCCCCACTAGGCACATGCCATTATTTTGAAAACGCTTCAATTTATTTTTTTTAAATGACACTTAATTTTGAAAGTTTTCAAAAATTTAGTTCCTGGCCAATTGTTATTTCATTTTATGATTTCACTCTTAAACAGCCAACTGTAGCCTATGTTGAATTGCCCAACAAAACTATCCTTGGAACTAAGAAATTAATCACCCTGTCTAGAAAAAGAACTTAGAGCCACACACTAATTAGGATGGTCAAACCACAGCTTATTTTTCTGTGAAGAAGAGCCTATACTTCATTAAGACTAAAAGCAACCTTTAAATCTGTCTAGCCCCATGTAGATTTGAAATGTTAAACCATTTGTTTTATCGCTAATGAAAGTGTAAGTAGACACTGTGGTGTGGACTGGCTTGAAATTTGGATGTCTGCTAAAAAAGAATAATATTCAAGCCCTTGAGACATGACATAAGTAGGTTAGGAGGGTTATGTTGGTTTATTTAAAAAGAAAAAAAAGACCACTTATTCCCTGATCTTTTGGACATTTTCCCCAAAATAGTAAGTAGGTATGATTTTGTTCAGTCAATATCAGGATTATTAAACTTCCAAGAAAAAATAAGGCAGAAGGATGACAGATTTTAACATCCACTTATCATCTGTTACATGAAAAATAAATATTGCTCCCCCCACCTTATCTCCTTAATATGGTAGTAAATGTGTTAACGCTGGATTTTCTCATATACTCTATTTATGTTGTGGTTAATGATACTTCTATCTCCACAAAAGCTTATGGACCAGAATTTTTATGCCCTTCTAAGCATAAGAGAGCAAAGAATTACCCTAAGTAATTCTCCCAAAGTTGGGCAGTTAGTTATCAACACAGGTGATTATTAGACCTGAAAGTTTTCATTAATATTCTACCATATTAATTAGCCATTTCTAGTGATAAAAAACATCCCATGAATAAATATTTTCCTTGGGCACTAAGTTATTATCTTATACACTCAAGACAAAATGACTGAAGTTAATTTTTTAAGTGGTTTTAAAAACAATTGGTTAAAATTCATTAGTTGTCAATTGAACAAATTAAAATGATTTTCAGACATATATGGCCTTCAAAATCCGTGAAAAATAATGCATGAAGTGGCCTTATAAAATACCTGGTAACAGTTTTTATTTAGTGTCAGCATTTGCTATATTCCTTTATCCAACTTTGGTTGGTATAAAGAATTGCTACATACAAAAAAATGATTTTACAGACACTGTCAATTAGACAGTTGGAATCATTGTTATTACTTTGCAGTTTCAACAATTCATATTCCTAAAATTTAACATTATCCTTGAATTACTAATGTGTTTTATCAATCATTGAATCATTAATGTATTTATAACCATTCTTCTGTGTTTGGCTTTTGAGCAAGGATTTTCTTTTCCTTTGTATCCTAAACACTGACTATTCATTCTGAATCTGGTCTCAAATGTTATTTCTTATCTTCTTTTTTTTTATGAAGATTTGCAGTTTAAATACTTTAAAATGAACTATCAGTTGTTATGCTTTCATTTTCAAAACATTCTGGAAAAAATTTGCTTTGTACTATGGTGACAGTTCATCAAATATGTCAATAACAAAATGTGTTATTTAATGTAACTAAAATAATAATCAGTTAACTACCAGGGGTACACATGACTTGTATTCATCTTTGTTATATTTTATGTATTTTTTAATTAATTAATTTTTTAATTGGGGAATTTGGGGAGGGAAACAGTGTTGGAGAATTGGGGAAGGGGACCAGCCAAGTTGTTCTTCAGTCTTAGTTGTGGAGGGCGCCAGTCACCATCTGGCTGCCCAGGCAGGCAGCTTGTGGCCCCTAAGCTCAAGGTGCTGTGTTACAGTCTTAGTTGCGGGTGGGCATAGTCACCATCCCATGCAGGAATTGAACCAGCAGCATTGTTGTTAAGAGCGCATGGTCTATCCACTGAGCCATCTGGGCGGCAGCTCAGCTCAATGTGCCCAGTTCAGTCTTAGTTCAGGCATAGCCCACCATTGAACAGACAGTCTTATTGTTAGGAGCATGTGCTCTCATCAGCTGAGCCATCCTGCCACCTGTTGGCAGCTCAGGGGCAGCTCAACTTGGGTGCAGCGTCACTGGCCCATGTGGGAATCCAACCGGTGGCCCTTTTGCTCAGAGCTCACGCTCTTAAGCTAACTCTTAACCAACTGAGCCACTCAATCGGCCCTATCAGTGTGTATTAAATATTACAATTTTAATGCAGTTTTTTTCTTTCTTAAAATGTGTATACATATTTTTGGCACCCTCTCTATATATCAACAGTAAACACAATATAATCTAGATGTTCCTGTGGTAAATATTAATATAACAGGTACGTATGCTCATGTTTTTTAATTTTTAAAAAATTTACTTCTAGCACAGATCATTCTGTGTGCAATGTAAACATTCTTAGAAGTATTAAGGAGAATGTTACAGAGACATAAATTGTCCCTCTTTGTACTGCGATATAATGAAAAGAGCTAGCTGACAAAAGATCTGAGTTCCAGACCTGATGCTGCCACTTGCTTGCCAGTAAGCAAGTCTCGTAACTTCCCTGTGCTTCCTACCCACAAGGATGTAAAGGAGCTAAAACTATATCTGTGAAGGTATTTTGAAAAAATAATTTAAATGTTCATAATTTACTAATTTCAGTTTGACTCAAGAGAAAGTTTTTACATAAAACCAAAGTTATTGCCTCACTAGTCAACAAGTAGTACATGAAAATCTCATCCCCCAGCTTGGGGTATTTTGCTTCTTTCAAAGCACAAAGTGCAGTACAAAGGCTACTCTGGAAAGTGGCCTCAAAAACTGAGCTACATCTTTATAGGTCCAGAGAGAGTATTCAGTTGAATTAAGGTCAGGGAATAAGAATGCTACACAAAGATTCACTTATGTATTAAACAAAGGTATCTTGATTTTCAATAACAAAGCTAAAATGATAACTGATACAACTCAGTTTTTTTCAGATTTCCCAGTAAAGATATTGTTATCAATTTGATTTTTTTTTTAAGCTGAGTCATC